CTTACGGCAGGCTTGGAGGGGATAGGGATTTTGCTGCGCGACCGAACTGAAAAAAATGTGATAGTAAAACCGTAAGAAAAAATGCGTGGAATAAAACCATTAAATGAGACGTGCGCATAGGGGGTGGTAGAGCGACGAGGGTGCATCACTGAAATATTGTGATATTACACCAACACTGAATATGTGTGAAGTTATAGGGGGTGGTAGAGCGACGAGGGTGCATCACTGAAATATTGTGATACTACACCAACACTGAATATGTGTGAAGTTATAGGGGGTGGTAGAGCGACGAGGGTGCATCACTGAAATATTGTGATATTACACCAACACTGAATATGTGTGAAGTTATAGGGGGTGGTAGAGCGACGAGGGTGCATCACTGAAATATTGTGATATTACACCAACACTGAATATGTGTGAAGTTATAGGGGGTGGTAGAGCGACGAGGGTCATCTGCTGTAAACTTAAGCTAGACATGATAACAAAGTCAGTACTTAACAGGGGGTGACAGAGCGACGGAGGTGCAACCCCAAATTATTGTGGCATTATACCAACACTGGATTATTGTCGTATATTATACTAAACTGTGCTTAATTCCAGGGGGTGGCAGAGCGACGGGGCTGCATTACTGGATTATTGTGACATTGTAGTTTATTATAATCTGTGGGCCAGTCCTGCCTAGCAATCTTTACGAACACTAGCTGACCGAACTGAAAAAAATGTGAAAATGTGATAGTAAAACCGTAAGAAAAAATCCGTGGAAAAAAGTGCGTGGAATAAAACCGTTAAATGAGACGTGCGCAGGCGCGACGAAGTTCCTTACGGCAGGCTTGGAGGGTATAGGGATTTTGCTGCGCGACCGAACTGAAAAAAATGTGATAGTAAAACCGTAAGAAAAAATCCGTGGAAAAAAGTACGTGGAATAAAACCGTTAAATGAGACGTGCGCAGGCGCGACAGTCGCATACACAAGCGAGTTTGCAATTTGTGTCGATTCTACATTAGCCGAAGGAACTTCGTTCCTACCTGGTGTCCCACGACACCACATCATTTTTTATTTAATTTTGTCGAGCTACCTTCGAAATACTTTTATTGAGCGTTCGGTTATTTAATTGGAATTTTTAAAAAAAAATTATTGTCTATGTATGAATTTATTAGTTAATTTAGTTAATAAAGTAATTCTTTTTTGTAATTTTGAGTTTATTTATTTGACTCTAACTACCGTAAACTACCACCGATTCCAAAATTGGGAGACCTTTCTGAGAAGAACTGGCGAAACAAACACAGAGAGGCTTTCGAGATTGTTTCGCCTGAAAAGGCTGCGAAACGTCAATAAGTAAATAAGTTTCGTGCATTAACCCGTTAAAACTAATTTTATTTAATGAGTGATGTGCGTGAAAACCTAAGCTCCGCTAATGTCAAGTGATCAGCCATTACAGTTACACGTAAGGGAATGACAGTATCCTTCAAAGTTATGGCAACCTGTATGTATTTAAAAATGTTTATTGTACTTACCCTCATTTTATTAGAGTTATAGCAAAAGAAATGAAACCTGCATCTTACAGAAAGAGACCAGCAGATTGTTCAAGTCAGCAAGAAGAGATACTATGATTCAGGCGTCACGTTTTCTACAATATCAGATATAGGCATTACTGAACTTCATACAAACTTAACAGCAGGTGGTGAGACTATTTTGTCAGGCCTAGCATTTAAAAATACAGAGGCATCAAACCTAACACTCGATATAAAAAATAATTTAGATACTAAACAGATACTAGACATTGAGGGTTATCTACAATGCGAAAAGATAGCACTGCCTTGCAGAGATATACAAGAGAAAATTTGACACGGCCATCAGGGCTGCGGTAGCATAATGTGTATTCGCGAAGGGTGCGGTTTCAAGCCCCGTCAGCTGCATGGTCCGCGTGGATTTTTTTTTTCTAGTAAAATTTTATTTAGATTTAAACATCTAGCAGAGTAAAAAAATGTAGATACTATTTATAACTTCAAGCTCACTTTTCAGTAATGACTTTAAGGTGTGAACCAGGTTGCAATTAAATTGTATTTTTATACATAACCAGAACATGACAGACGTGAGTATTACAAAAAATAAATGCAAGCGTAAACAAAGTGCTTTAATACTAAGAACAAACATAATAAAAATTCGCAAACAGTCAATAAAAGTATCAAAACATCTACGTTTTATGACAATCCAAGATTAAACAAGAGCAACAGTTACACACGAAATTCGGCTTTTATTGCCATACGTGACCCACAAAAGTAAACATGAAAACGAAAAATAATACAGTGAAAATAGGGACAATAGTGAACCACGCCATACATGGCCTTCGAAACACTGACGATCAATGTCAACCGTGCAGTCAGTGGGCCATTACACTGCCGTCCGTGAATATTAAATAGGTATACTTACGACCATATCCCGCCCAGAAATCGACACTCACTCACTCGGTGCACACATTCTGTAAATCGACCGAAATAAGTTTAAATCGAAACCGCTAAAAATTAATGTTTTTAAAGTAACAATAATACCGGTCATAAACAAAAAGTCGAAAAGGGATAAGACAAATTATACGTGTTCGTGATGAAAAGCAATTAGTAAGAAAAGAATAAAAATTAGAAAGAAGAAGAAAAAAAATATAGTCAAAGTAAATCAATAAAAACAACAATGAAATACTCTTGCTTAATAGTGCTGTGTTTTCATGTTGTGTTAATATGCGCGGCCCCTTTGCAACTTCAGTGGCAAAGCCAAATGTCGGTACAGCCGGATCAAGAGGAGATCTTGCGGGAGCAACTGTTCGCGTTACAGCAACAACTGCAGCCAACAAACCCGTGGAATAACAACTACTACCAACAGTATCCACCAGCAATGCAGTAAGTATTTATATAAAAAGGATGGCTATTAAGTGTTGTGGCCTGCTAAATGGTAAGCGGCCACCATAGCCTATAGATGCTTTTGTTACTGGAGTATTACTCGTGCATTGCCTACATTGAGTCTGTAAATCTTACTCACTGAAGAAAAACTAATTTATAATGTAATAATTTGCTGCAGTCTTCTATAAAGTGCAGATGAGGCTTTAGACAAGGTCATTCTACGTTACATATATTTGAAATTTTAATTTAATCCACGCACTTTAGATTTCGTCAAAATTTTAAATACTATCTATGTACTCCACGCGAAAGAGCAAAAAGCTGGAGCACTGTGGACTTACTGCTCCTGTATTCTGCGTCTTTCAGAACACTGAGGTCAATTAAGAATAACTGTTCTAAGTACAGTGTTGTGTTCCTGAATTGAATGAGGTTGCAAAATTTTCATGGGGTCCAAGAGTTCACACCAGCAAACTGGGTACCTAAACCAACACGTAAATCTGCTACATCAGCTATCTTCACAGTTGTTTATTGCAGATTTTAAATATTATTAGATTTTCAATAGGCGGCTATTGAAAATCTAATAATGGATCTTAATATAATACGCAATTTCACTTTCGATTTCGTTATTTAAAGTTTTTGACAAAATGTTAAATGTATTTTACTGGCTGCTTCAGCATTAATGATGATGTTTTATCTGGTAAGGACGTAATGCATATTAAACTATTGTCTAATATTGGAGCTATCGAACTCGGAAGCGAAATTAAATTTAACAGAATCACTTCTTCTGAACTCCGATCATACTCACTTTTCGAAAATTTGCCATGCTATCACATTTGTTAGTTTCTGAACTAATCATATTGTTTAAACAAGCGGACAGTTGTGTCTAATGTTAATTTTCCAGCTGCTTCTGTAAATGTTTACTTTCTTCTCCAAAATCTAATGGTGGCTGCCAAAATAGTCACATAGTATAAAAGTTTAAAACATTTGAAACAAATTTAAGTGTAAACTTCTTTCTTTTCAGGAAATCGGATATGCCTTACATTATTATAATGCCAGTAGAACAAACGAATCCTCTGAGTGAATTAAATAAACAACTTAAAACTGAAGTTGAAAATAAGCCAAAAGAAAATAAACTAAGTACTGATAATAAAGATTTGGACTCCATAATGGTGGAAGCAGCTGAATCAAAACCGGAGCATGAACCAAAAAAAGCTATATTACTTATTCCGAACAGAGGTAGACTTTCAATCGGCGGGTTGATTTCAGCAATCCCGTTTTTGCCTATTGAAATCAATGTACCCGATGCAATTTCTTGGATAATAAATGGAATCTCCAGTATTATTTCTGGTATTGGGCAGAACTTCCCATTCAATCGGCCAACACAACCACAAATGTCACCAGAGAATATGAAAATTCTCCTCAGAAGGTTGCAGACAGAAAATCAAAATAAATTGACACCAATCTTAATGTTACCAGAGGTCGCACAAACCTTTCCATTACTAATATAATATTATACTCATAATTTAAGAACTCTTTTTATTTTCACCTCATAGATAACCTGTATTTTTTTTGAATTGACGGAAATGAAAAATAGCAAAATTGATTCAGAACTATATTTAATACAAATTGTCAATACAATTGGTTTTTTTGATTGCAACTTATATGGTCACATTAACTTACAACAGATAATGATTGGTAATCTGTAATAAATTTTAGAGCGGGTTCAAGAGTTTAACCAGAGAATGATCAATGTGATAACTATTGGTTACACTTTCAAACGCCGTCCAAGTAAGTATTTAAGCTCACTACTGAAAATTGTATAAAAAGTATCATAAAACAATAATTTTATAATAGAGATTTCATGCAGGCAAAATATTTTATTCGTTGATCCTTACTATGGAAACAGTTACTGCTATAGTTATTCATATTAGAAACCAATTTACACATTAATGTTCCATTAGCAACGATACTTAAATACAAATGAGCTTCATTTACTCTATCGACTAGCTGTAGGCAATCACTTTAACTTCCTGTACCATATTCGATTTGGAATCACTAACAATAACTTAGTAAAGAGAAATCAGAATTATTATAATACAGAATATAATTTTTGTAGGAAGAAATTGTTCAGCAAATTCCAAGCAATGCTTTTAGAATAGGCAAATGAAATCTTAACAAAACATCATGGCACTACTTAGTAGGAGTCTTATTAGGCCTAATTATTTTAATGGTTGATATGGTTGACACGTCAACCGCTAGCGTTGACAGAATAGGTGTCGCTATCGACAGGGTATCCAGGGTTAGCTCCACCAGGCTGCTGGGCGTTCTTCGGAACAATGATGGACACAGGGTAGTTGAAACTGTAGAAGAAACCACGTGGGGGACCCTGCAAAGAGGATAAATAGAATTACAGTACAAATCAATCAGTGATTGCGGCAAATCAAAATGATGGATATTGGGCCATAACTATAGTCATCGAACTATAAAATTCAAGGAATAAGTATCCAGTACATAATAAGATATCAATGAAGAAATCGTTTTTATTAAAAAGATATCTTTAGCACAGTTTGATTGCAGCATAAAAATATTTTCCTATTCTTTCTCATGAAAAATATAATTATGATATAATCAGAGATATTGTAAATAGGTATATCTGTTAAGTTTTATATGCAGATAGTGAGGATATACCCCTATTCCATCAATAGGGGAGGCCTGTGCCCCAGCAGTGTGTGCACGTTTACTAAGACGATGGCGTTAGTTCCGATTTTCGCCACATTCATAAAGATCCTTGTCGCAATATACTTATGCTATTACTATATGTGGTGTTATCTTTGTAATCAAAAAAATCAGCTATGGTTGTGATTAGGGTCTTAGAGCAAGCGCTAAACAGCAGAGCCTATCTGCTGTCCTCAAACTAAAGTGCGACTAAGTGACATATGGTCGATTTTCTGTCCTAAATTGCATCTCATACAATTTTTAATTCTCTATCTATTTATCTTTAATAAGTATTCGTGTCTTTTAAAGCTTAAGACTAATCCGTCATGTGATAAATGGTTACAAAATAGCAATAATTTAAAGTTTACGCGCCGTTTTTTGGCCATATCTCAAAAGTTGGTTTTGTCATTTTGCCGTGTTTATCTTGAGGACGGCAGCTATGGATGCTCACTTTACTCTGTACCCTCTTAAATGCCTGTACTTTTAAAATAACATTAGGTAAAGAAGACTTATTAGCTAAGCATCGTATAAAAACACTCACGGTAGGTTCAGGTTCTTCAGTGGTCGACGGGTATTTCTGTTGCTGGAATTGCTGCTGTGGCTGCTGGTACTGCTGTTGCTGCTGGTAAGGCTGCGGCTTCTGGTACTGCTGCTGGAAGCTGCTCTGCGCCTGCGCGACGTAGGCTTTGCCTTCGCGGGCTACTGGGACTTGCGCGGCCACTGGAGCGGCGGCGGATACTGACTGCACTTCCGACGCCTGCGGCTGGTACTCGTGGTAGTTAGCGGAGTAATCTTGCCTTTGGACAAAAACAAAACGTCATTGAACACATCATCAACGAACTTCCCTCAGCGGTAATTCCTTTTACTTTTTTCCTTTGTCTATACTTATGTCAAGATACTAAACGATCTTAATCGACTGCAACGGAAATATGTAGTTATTTATGATATAAGTGCGGAAAATTGGTTCTTACAAACGAAGTCGAGGGCTTACCATCGTCACGAGTTTGGAAATACCAATTCCGCACGAATGTTATACAACGTTTTTCAACACATTTGCGAAAAAACAGTTTACCCAATTTCAGTAAAAACAAACTTTTTCAAAGAAAATGGCGCGTATTTCCAAATGTCGTCACGTGAAAATTAGAACCACGTCTTTCGTCTTTTTTTCTTTTTAGTATGAAAGTGAGACAAAGGTATAGATTAAAGGTGCTTCCAAAGAGGTTCGATCGAAATTAAAACTAAAAAACCGTATAGGATACCTACGGCGCCATGTATAAGAGGGTGCGGTAAAACGTTTTACCGCACGCAAATGTATTCAACGTACGTAAATGCATTTTTTGAGTCAATGTCTAAAAAAGTAGTAAAACTTACTGGGCGTTAGGGTGGAGGGCGGCGTCGGCGGCTTCCTTCCAAGCCTTCTCGTGCGCAAGACGAGCTTGCCTGACTTCCTCCGTCTCCTGGGCTGGCTGCAGCTGCACCTTGGGGAGGTTGTCCTCTTGGTGGAAGCCTTCGCTGTCAGCCCAGTAGCGAACCTGTGATCATCACATTTCATAATTAAATATGAAGTAGGAATACAGACCCTGTTCTTATTGTTAATATCCGGCTCTTGTCTTTACATGGATTTTTATAAAATAACCCTCATATAATATAAAAAAAGAATAAGAAATAATATTTCAAGAAAATATTACAAAAAATAATCCACGTTGTTCAGGCAGCAAACGGGAATTGAATCTGCACTCTCCGCTCTCCGGGCGTATGCACTGACCAATTAATAAATATTATTTTTTAAACATCTATCATTTAAATGGAGGAGGAGGACGAGCTCGATGGTGCAAGTGGTTAGCGCGTTCGGCTGTGATGGTTGAAGTTAAGCAACTTTCGCAGTGGTCGGTCATTGGATGGGTGACCAAAAATTTATTATCTCGAGTTCCTCCGTGCTTCAGAAGGCACGTTAAGCCGTTGGTCCCGGCTGCATATGCAGTCGTTAGCACCCGTCAATCCGCACTGGGCCCGCGTGGTGGGTCATGGCCCAACCTCCCTATTCCATCCATAGGGAAGGCCTGTGCCCAGCAGTGGGGACATTAATAGGCTGATGATGATGATCATTTAAATGCTTGATATTAATAACATAATAAACTTATTAGTCAGTAATCTATAGATGTTTCATGAGAATTGATATAGCATGCGAAGGAAAGCTTATATTTTGCAAACTTCAATTTATTTAAGGTTCAATATATCCCACTCTTAATGCTGAGCATTGACTTCTCCTAAAGGATTACACGCCTGCCATTTTCTATTCAACTTCCGTTCACACATATCAAATTAGCATGAAATTTGCTTGACTATACAAGCAATAAAAATCCACAAATTCTATGAATAAAAATATTTTTATTTATATAATTTCTATGCTCTATTTTTTTAGATATCACCATCACTAGAGTCTGTGCGGAAAGAGAATGGGCGTGGCGAAAAACGGAACTAACATTAAGATTTTTATTTGGCAATCAAACCCAGCAATCTGTAAAATATCAAAGTTTTGTATTGATACGGATTTGTTTGTTGTTGTGATTTTGTTGCGGTTTTTTGTATTTAATCATGTGTAAAAGGGGTAAAACCTTGCAAATACGGTAGAAAAGCACTACAGCGCCATCCAGAGACATCTATTAAGCTTCTTCTCAAAGTTTCGGTAAGTGTATGAACACACTCATGTTCAAACTAATGATGCGAAGATCAAATACGACCTCCGTGGCTGAGTGGTTTGTCTGTCGGGTTTCATGGTGTCGCCGACTCGAGAGGTCCCGGGTTCAAATCCCGGTGGGGGCAGACGTTAATATGTTGAATACGAGCATTTGTACTCCAGTCATGGATGAATAATATGTATTTCTATAAAAATATACTTATACATATATGTACAGTATATTGTATTCTATCCGTTACCCTAGTATCCCATAACACAAGCCTTATAGTGCTTACTTTGGGGCTAGGCTAATTGGTATGAGTGTTGGAAATATTTCATCATCATCATCATCAACAGCCTATCCTAGTCCACTGCTGGACATAGGCCTCTCCAATTGCACGCCACTCAGATCGATCTTGGGCTACTCGCATCCAGCTCCTGCCAGCCACCTTGCGCAAATCGTCACTCCATTGTGCCTGAGGACGTCCTATACTACGTATGCCTAGACGCGGTCTCCACTCCAGAACTCGTCTACCCCAACTGTTATAAATTATTATTTATTAAATAGCAAACCTTAATGTCGTTATTTCCGGACTTGTAAGTGTAGGAGCCGGTAACGTCGCCGGAGTGCTGTCGGTTTTCTACTTTAGCTGACTCAGGTGCCTTATACCCGTACGCGTAAGCGCCCAAACCATCCTGACCGTGGAACTGACTTGCATCGTACACCTGAAAGAAGTAGCACAGGGGATTTTCCATTAAATTAAACGTATTCGCTGATAAGAGACTCTGAGACTAGCATCACCTGGACCCCCCCACGACAACGGCTAACTAGAGCCGATGTCCTACTCTCAGAGATGCCCTCTAGTTGAGCCGACCACCTCAGGTTTGAGTGGTCTAGAGGCTCCAGACGGAGAGGACACTCCCACCAGGAGATGTCATTCGCCTGGAATACCTCTAGAGGTTTTTTTATGTTATAGGGGGCATACGAGCAGAGGGCTCTCTTGATGGTAAGTGATCACCGTCGCCCATGGACACTTGCAACACCAGGAGTATCACAAATGCGATGCCGGCCTTTAAGGAAGGAGTAAGCTCTTTTTCTGAAGGTTTTTGGGTCGTATTATATGGCGAAATGCAGCAGCTGGAATGAATCCGAACAATTCCTCGGAACACTCCCCGTGATAAACGCGATAGATCTCGCCGTCCCCAAACCCGGTGATGCTGTAAGTCATCTGCGACCAACAGCGTACACAAAAAAAATCACCTGGACTTTCTACTATACGAGTATTCTTCTATCTGTTATTTAAAGCTTTGACACCTATACCACAGCTATACTATAAAATTTGACAAATTTTGGTACAAAAACTAAGGGAATCTTGGAGAAAATCATAGCCTACTTTTTGCTGGGAACGTAAATATTTTACCCCCTTATCAATAAACGTGGAATGGAACATACTTAGACCCGTATTACAGAATGACAACTAAGTGTTGATCTGTACTTGAGTACAATAAGAAGGGGATGCCGCTATATATAGCGACATCCCTTTCTAACTATGCTCAAGACTAGATCAATCACTGAAAATCTTTCTATAATACGGGCCTTAGTGTCGCCGCACACGGGCCACATGCCACAGCCTCAAACGCCGCCACGAGAAGCTAAAAGTGGCTGAAGCGCGCGACAGCGGCCGACTAAGATAAGCTAGGGGTTTAAAGAAATGGTCTTAGCCTATAATAATGACCATTCTTATAGGCTAGGACCATTCTTATAGACCTCTTCCACTGGGACCGGTGAACATGGGGAGAGAAAGAAAGGGGACAACTAAGCACACTATCCCACCAAATGATGAATGTCACTGCGGCCTATGCACGTTTATAATAACTAATAACAAAACTAACTTACTTCTTCTACGTAATCGTCTGTGTTCTCGATCTCATGTCCGTTCTTCCAGTAGTGGCCGAGAGTGGGGCCTGCCTCCGCTGTGCGAAACCTAGGGTCGTTCCATCTCACCTAGAAATCATCATTTATTAATTAATTAAAATTCCAATTGTCTTCTTACTGTTTATTTCCAATGGCGATTAATAAATATTGGTCTCTTATTTTCTTCGATACAGTGTAATAATAAGGAAATTGCAAGACAATATCTGAATTCTGAAACATACATTACGAAGAAGTTGACAACATCCAGGACACACTTTTCGATCTCAATATGGAAATAATATTATATTATTTTAATCCAAAGGCCAATTCTTTTTTTTTGTTTATAATAATAACTTATAAATAAAACAATGTACGTAAGTTGAGAAGCTCGATAGCGTGGGTGGTTAGCGCGTTCGGCTGCGATCGTTGAAGTTAAGCAACTTTCGCAGTGGTCGGTCATTGGATGGGTGATAAAAAATCTTCTATATCGAGTTCCTCCGCGCTTCGGAAGGTGCGTTAAGCCGTTGGCTGGCTGTTTCTTCAGTCGTTAGCACCCGCCAATCCGCACTGGGCCCGCGTGGTGGGTCATGGCCCAATCTCCCTATTCCATCCATAGGGAGTGGGGCAGTGGAGACATTAATAGGGTGATGATGATGATGAACAATTCCTAAACTGCAGCTAAAAAAAGAAATACACATAGAATTGCTCTACACTATTGCTCTTCTGTACACACTGCGAAGACTAGTGGATACTTGAGGCACTTTGCACCTCTTCTGGACTGTCGACCTCAATATTGGTGTCATTGATATACTGATGATAGTATATTTACTAGAAGTAAGACTGCTGTGCGGTTGGAGAGCTGCATTTCCGTGAACTACTTCTATTAATGTACATCTGCACCTCTTCTGGACTGATGTCGCTCTCAACATTGGTGTTATTGATATATTGATGATGGTATATTTACCAAGGGTAAGACTGCAGTGCGGCCGGAGAGCTGGGGCTCCGTTAACTACTTCCCTTGAGGTACTTCTGCGCCTCTTCTGGACTGATGTCGATCTCAATATGGTGTCATTGATAAATTGATGATGGTATATTTACCAAAGGTAAGACTGCAGTGCGGCCGGAGAGCTGGGGCTCCGTGAACGGTGGGCTGTTCAGGTACTTCTGCGCCTCTTCTGGACTGATGTCGATCTCAATATGGTGTTATTGATAGATTGATGATGGTATATTTACCAAGGGTAAGACTGCAGTGCGGCCGGAGAGCTGGGGCTCCGTGAACGGTGGGCTGTTCAGGTACTTCTGCGCCTCTTCTGGACTGATATCGATCTCAAATATATTGGTAGGCGAGCAAGCTGCCAGTGCCAGCTGGAAGCAGAACATAAGTTATTAGAATAAATATATTATTAAAATCATATTATATTAATTAACTGCTATATTTTCCGATATCTAATGTCCTGATGGACGTCAGGAGCTGTACTCTTAGGCGTCGTGCTAATTAGCTAAGGTCGTACGATGGCACGACACGACCTCATCGAGTCGTCGTCGTACGATGAAAACACTGTAGGTACCTGTACTAGTGCGACGACTTACGAACTATATTAGGACACTTCTGAAGAAATCTTTATGTTTGAACCCATCGCACTACGAGATGGCATTGTGTCATCGTACGATCGTTGCCAAATAGAACGACACCTACGAGTAAGTACCTACGCATACAGCCACAAAAAAATGGCAAGTTATTTTCAATAAAATAATCGTCATAATACCTACTTAACGGAATATTCCGTCAATATTTAATCTTTTTAATGTGCCTATAAATACTTCATTCAGCTCCAACACACTACTCGAGATCTAATGAATCTAATTGAGAGGTGTGAATGCGTAACTTTTATATTTATCAATTCAGCAAAATATCTAAAAACTGGGTGCGCTGCGCCATAAATTAACTCATTGGCGGACTCATCTCCGTAATTTGGAGGTCACGATCGAATCGCCTCATCCGATGAACCGGACCTAACCGATTGACATAAATCTCTGGTCTCGACTCTTCATTATTTAACATAACACTGACACATCGTGACGTCACCATTAATAGTTTACACATGCGGTAGGTACATCGTTAATCTGACTACCAGTGAATATATGCAATCAAGGATTTACATATAAATGTACGCATTAGAAAAGGTTACATTATAATAGTTTATGATTATCGTCGTATACTTGCATAGGTAAGTATTTTTTTTTGTTTAAAGTATTTTTTAACATTGCATTGGCGGCCAGACATATCATTTACTGTTCGATTTACGAGCAAATTAAAATCGTGACCAGTAACCAGACTATGCCGCTGTCCTTGTAATTTGCTGAATTCGAAAAATACTAAGAAAAAATAAAAAAATCTTAGATAAATTATTGGTCTCCCTTTGAAACAAACCATTTTTTATTTTATTGCAAAGCGCGCGCCGACGCTGCGGCTGTCAAAGTTCGTCGTTGCAGCGCTGTCATACAACTTCGTAAAGCTAGCGTTGCCTGGCGTCCGGATAAAGCCGGACATAGTAAGGCTTAAGACGAGCCGAGAACAAACGAGTTGACTGTCGGTCGCTTTTACATACAATTTTTTGTCGTACCTAATATTACTGAGCTACCAAATCCTTAATAATGTGGGGTGTCTGGCCTTTTTACACAATTACCGGCCAAACTGGCTGATCTGTCCAGCTATTAGGTTTGGCGACCAGGGGGCTATTTGCCTAACAGAAATGTTTTGGAAAACGCTAACGCTTTCGATTTTATTTTGTTATATCTGACCAATACCTCACGCTCATTTTTTTTTTAATATTATTATTACCAATGCAAAAGAAAAAAAAGAGCGCGAGATATTTGAAAACCTCAGGCGACTAGAAATAAAAAAAAAACGTAAGCGTTAGCGTCTTCCAAAGCATTTCCGTTAGGCGAATGCCTCCCTGGCTGCCCTACGTACAGCTGTAACTTCTAACTTTGTAAACAAAGGAGTTAACTTGGAAATCGGACTGACTGAAGAAATGGTGAATTTTGGTATGGAAAAAATCATAGATCAAACGAAAATCAAAGTTATAAAGGGTTAATAGTTCTTGAAAAATTTTCACGGGTCTCAATATTTACACGAAGATAAAGTTGGGGTAATATCTAGTATGGACTAAGCAAAGCAAGCAAAATATTATAACCATGCTTATAATATTTTGCTATAGTTACTCTGTCTGTTGCATTTTCACAACAGACCTGTTAAACCAATTTTAATGAATTTTACGTATGTAGATAAGAAGGATCTTAGAGACCTTAGGTATATGTCGCAAATAATATCGGTGTTAAATATTTAGCAGAAGAAACCAATTAATCGAAAGACGAAACTTGATACTAAGTCAAATGTTTAGTTTATTATTTTTTTATGATTACTGGGAAAATTCTATACGCATACCTATAAATAAAGTTAGCATTATTATGACAAGCAAATATAAACAAGTACCATCAGCAACGCATCAAGTCATTCTGATTTGTCCAACAATTTACCTTATCCCATCTGACGCTAAGATTAAAATTGATTGAGAATTCCGTCACTTTGTGGCAATGATATGTTTGTAACTGTACTAATATATAAACAACATATTGTCAACTCGACAAGGCTGGCCATTAATGCTCCAGGTAGTCAATAACTTGAGTTGTTAACAGATCGTACGTGATCATTCAATATAAGTTCTATTGTTATCTTAAATAAAGTAAAATCATTATCATCATCAGCCTATTAATGTCCCCACTGCTGGGGCACAGACCTTCCCTATAGATGTAATAGGGAGATTGGGTCATGATCCATCACGCGAACCCAATGCGGATTGGCGGGTGCTAACGACTGCAGATGCAGTCGGGACCAACGGATTAACATGCCTTTCGAATTTGGAGGAACTCGAGATAGAAGATTTTTGGTCACCCATCCAATGACTGACCACTGCGAAAGTTGCTTAACTTCAACGATCGCAGTCGTACGCGCTAACTACCTGCTTCATCGAGCTCCTCCACCCTAATAAAGTTAAATGGAATTCTATAAATAGTTGTTTATTAAATGTCAGCTAAAAAAGTGGAATTTTATATAGCTGTATAACCTACAAAAACAATGTTTAGTGCTTTTTATTTTGACAAAGGTCTGATTGCGGAGCCATATCAATAGTGTTTCCTTTGGCATTATTGAATTAAGAAATAAAGTAAACATGAAAGAGAAACCGACTCGTATTGGATATTGTTGACTGAAAATTATGTAGCTGTAATGACTTTTATACCCACTTGCTGTTAAAGTCTCTGATAGCCTATCCGAAACTAAGGTATCATCAGATACCAAGGCCGAGTAGAATTTTTCTAGTAAAATTTTTCTTTAATTATATAAATACATCTAAAATCAAAATAAAAATATAATAAACTTACGTACCAATCAAAGTACAAATTTTATTTCACTGATCTTGAATCTTTGAAGGAACATCAATAAAATATTTATTTATTAGATAGTTTTATATTAGCAGATAATATCTGGAAAAATATCAGGAACCAAGAACGGATTCGCTATAATAATCATCATTATCCTAAATTGTTCCTACTTTTGGGGCACACGCCTTCTGCAATAGGCAGATTGTGCCATGACAGTACAAATTGTTGGGTGCTTACTGCTAACCACTGCAGATGCAATCATGACCATCGGTTTAAAGTGTCTTCCGAAGCAATGAAATTGGTACCCATGTTACAGCCGGCCCTTGCAAAAGTTGCTTGACTTCACAATCGCAGACAGATTACATTGAGACAATATTTAGGAAAATAATAATGTTATTCCAATTCTTTTGAATGGACTTTGGCTTGTATATCAATGACCGATTGGCGACGCGTTTAGGTAACCAACTATGAATAACATTGACACAATACTTAGACGTCTCTGAAGTTGTATTATGTCGACTTATGTTATTCACAAACGGAAAACGTTGTAGGAACACGAAATATAACTGTATTCGCAAATGGGATATTAATAACAATAGTATCGTTTGACGAACACCGTAACAAACTGGCGCCGTAGACCAGTGTACAAACTTTAATTTAACCTTACGCTAACGGTATCTTATTGAAAAAATTACATGTCGAATCTTGTCAATCACATAACATTAAAATAATAATTTAAAGCCTATGAGATATAATATTAAAGACTATTGATATTTTTTAAACTTTAAAGTCAAGCATCGGCTTTCGATAGAACAGAAATGTAATATCAAACATATTTATATTTTGATGTCTGTACCCTTACTACGAGTTTGAGCTCACGAAAACTATCATAGTTTTCGTAATTGTAAATTATGTTTCTATGTCCATTTTAGTAAAAAGTAACCAAATATACTTAAAACTTAAGAAGAAGCAAATGATTTAATGATAGAATTTAAACACTGTTTATTTGTATTGAAAGGAAAACAATAAAATCAGTACCCTTAGAGCTCACGAAAACTATCATAGTTTTCGTAATTGTAAAACTCGTACTAAGGGTACTACTGGTCTATGACCGTTGTCCACCCAGCAATGTCCATCTTCGAAAACACTGCGTTAGAATCACAATCATGGTCATTGATAATATGACTAACGAATCAATGAGTTTCATCATGACCATAATAGTAACCACTAGAGCCCAATTATATTTGTACACCCACCAATTAAAAATATTATAAGTATTTAATTTATCATTAGTATGGAGTCATACACTGATTATTGAGTTTATGATTAACTTCATCGTTGGAGCTTAACAAATCTAACAGTGCATCTAACTCGTTGAAACTTGTTTTCTTTAATGAGTGATGTGCGTGAAAACCTAAGAAACAAATAAGTGAAATATCATTGACCGCACGTTTAGTGAGTTCTCGTCAAGCGTGGAATGAATATGATGCCTAATGTCAGACCTTGTCTAAGCATTACTTACTATACAATAGCATATTCATACTCGTGTAAGTAGCTAACAATATGTTTAGCAAATAAAATTTGCTGCTTCACAAATCGCTTACTATTAGTGGGTAAATATTATATAAATACGTATTCATCTTTGAAACATCACGTATTGTTTTAATTTAGGATATTACTATGAAGAGGTATTAATTGACTTTTATATAACCAATAATACTAGTGGTCACCTTTAGTCGAAATTTCGTTCTTCTGTCAAATACATCCCACCAAAAACATTTCCATGTATTACGTTGCTAAGACGAGACCATATAATTCGCATTTACAAAAAGTTATCAGATCTCATTTAGAGCCAAGCTTCTAACTTTGTACTACACGCCCTAACTCTACAAGGCCTAACTTTACAAAGTCTACCACACGGA